AGTCAGGTCTTCTGGCCTTCATTGTCAAAAAAACGCTCTGGATCATTTCTATCCTGTGAATTGTCATGTTCGAGTTTTGTCTAATTGCCGAGTTACATCTATTTTTCTTTATTTGGCATCTATCAATAGTATAACATTTGTAGAAGACATGAAAAGGGTAGTAAAAGGTATCTCATACATGTTCAGAAATCATGAGTAGTTGGACTATATATAGAAACCCAAAGAACAAGGACGACTATTATTACAACTAATATCATTAATAAGCAAATAATGACAAACAAAATGGATTCAGTGTTCAGTGTCTGTCAGTAGGTACACAGGCCTTGTCAACGTCTTGGGATGTCTGCCTCTGATGTCAATAGCTTCTCATCCTCTAAGAGTCTTTGATGGCTGTTGTAGACAGTGGCAAGTGTAAGAGACAAGGGTAGAGGTCCATTTGTGCTTATGTGCCTGATCAGTTTTCCTCTGGTGAGATTGGAGAGTGTCTTTTATTTGATGGTCTTTTCAGAAAAAAATATCTAAAGTCTTTGTCTCCTGGGAGTTTGCTGTGAAAGGAAGCAGTTACCAACTTGGCATTTTCTTTAAATGATTCTATCAGACTTTGGCAATAGTGTAAGATACCTTCTTTCAATAATGTCAGCTCATAAGTTCCTTCATCTAAGTTCAGTTTAAATGCACTATGATGCATAAAGGAATGTAAAAACCAAAAAATGAGTTTGCCAGGGAGCCAGGAAAAGAACCAAGCAGCCATTGTGGGCTTCCTGTAGTCCCAACTATTTACATTAGTCATTGTTTACCCTTATAATATACCCTAGAAACTTTTCATCAGTTATTTTACAGTGTTTCTTATGCATTTTAACATAAAAAAAATCCTTTGAGGTGTTCCAGGATCCCTTCTGGAATACCGTGAAATTATTCCTACATATATTGAGATTTTAACCCTTAAAACCTCAGTTTCTAATGAAAAGTATGAAAAAAGCAATTTGAATTCTTTAGCTTGGTAGAGTTATGAGGACATTTTATAACCTCTGGAAACATATTTCATAGACATCAATGTCAATTAACATGAATTTAATTTTGTAAAACTTAGGTAAAATGTCTGTTTTGCTTAAGTAACCCAACAAACTAATTTTATTTACTAAGGATTAATCTTTGATCCTGTGAGTTTGAAAAGCATTTGAGTTAGTTTCTATATTTCTGAGAATTCTAAAATAATCCTTATAAGCACTTGCCTTTAAATTAATTTCAACAATACCATCCAGAGGTAGAAAATTATCTCACATTTATAACATACCTATATAGACATACATAGACACAAATAGAGAACAGTTGGATCCAGATTTTGTTTTGGAGAAATTTACAATTTGTAGCTGTCCTTGACAAGTTAAGATCCAAATGACCTTCCCCTTTTTAAAATAGGACAGATATTTTTAATATGTCAAAGTATTGGGTTGCTACCTAAACAACATCATAGGTTGATCCATTTATAGGGGAGCCTCAAAAATAACCAGAATTTATTTATTTTTATTTATTTTATTATTTTATTATTTTTTAAAGATTTTATTTATCTATTTTTAGAGAGGGAAGGAAGAGAGAGAGAGAAACATCAATGTGTGGTTGCTGGGGGTCATGGCCTACAACCCAGGCATGTACCCTGACTGGGAATCGAACCTACAACACTTTGGTTTGCAGCCCGAGCTCAATCCACTGAGCTACGCCAGCCAAGTCTCAGAATTTATTTATAAAAAATTGTGTATTTATTTTTACATGTTTAAACTTAAGTCACCTTCAAAGTACTCTCCATTTGATGCAGTACACCTACTGAGACATTTTTTTCCACTGCTCAAAACAGTTTTTGAACTCATTGATTTTGATGCCTTTTAGTGCTTTGGTTGCATTAGTTTCACCTCTTCCACATTTCCCTTTGAGGACTTTTTTCATCCAGGGAAACAAAAAAGTCTCTCAGGGCTGGATTGGGTGAATAGGGAGCGTGGGGCACCAGGGTCATGCCGTTTTTGGTGAAAAACTGCTGAACACTCAACATAGTGTGGGCAAGTACACTCAGAAATCACCCATCATGCAATGGGCAAACATGCTGAGAGTCTTCAAAAAAAATTTACTGAAGCTGGACACATTCTCTCACAACAATGCCAGCTGGTGCATTGTTGCAGGTAGACACATGTGCTTCTAACACTTAGCGAAGGAAGCTTGTAGTACAAGGGACCTGCCCTTCAGTTGATAATTCAGTTTTCTTTGGGTGCCCCCTTGTGTGTAAGTAAATCCTCTTTTTGAAGCTTTGAGAAACCAATTAAATATGCTTTTCATTCTTTGTTCCTTATTTTATAGCTGTTTTTTTTCTAATTATGTGCACAAAAGTATCACAGGATTCTCATCGTGGTTATCTTAGCATTAACAGGAGGTTGACTGTTATGGGCCTTGGTGGTCTCAGAGACATGATTTTCCTTGTTAATTTTGAGGTCTGTATTCTAGGAAAAGCTAGTCCTTGTGTACACATTTCCATATGAGCCAAATGCAGTTAATATCCTTGTAGGACTGCTCTACACTCTAGAGCAGTGATTTTCAACCAGTGTGCTGCAAGAATTTTTAAAACATGCAATACCTGACTATTTAGTCAGAGGTACTGACCTGTCTTTCCTTAGATTGTCAAATAAAAAAAAATGAGAACAGCCAACACAACATTAGCCATCTGGTGTGAATGAATCAAAATTATACCTATTTTTTGTCTGGTTGGCAAAAAATATATTTTTTGTTGTGCTACAGAATTTTAGTAATTAGTTTATGTGTGCCATGAGATAAAAAAGGTTCAAAATCATTGCCTTAGAAGAAATTTTCCTCAGGCAAACTCACATAATGTCTTAGTCACCTAAGAATATCTGAGCAAGGGCCAGAGAAAGCTTACCAGATGCCACCACAACAGGGCCTCTTTCTTAGGCACAGGCCTCTTTCTCAGTTTCCTCTCAGGTTGAACGCGTTGCAGGGTGTCCTGCCCTTCTCCCCAGGGCTTCCATTGGCATCTCTGGGATAAGCTACACAACTGCACTGGATGACTCCTGGTGCCCATCTCCACCACTCCAAATTTGGGGATCTGAACAACCATTGTCACCCCATTGGCTATTCGGGTTAGGGAAGCAAGTGCCCTTTCTCTTTTGGAACTAAAGGGAGTTCAGTCACTCATTTAACCAGGAAAGATTTTGTTCACATACTCAGTTAGCAATCCATGAAAAAGCTGAGATTACCCCTGGCTGGTGTGGCTCAGTGGATTAAGTGTTGACCTGTGAACCAAAGGGTGTGGGTTTGATTCCCAGTCAGGTCACGTGCCTGAGTTGCTGCCCCAGTCCCCAGTAGGAGGCGCGTGAGAAGCAACCACACATTGGTGTTTCTCTCCCTCTCTTTCTCCTTACCTTCTCTAATAAACAAACAAACCAAACAAATAAAAATTAAATAGCTGAGATTAAAAGCAGTTACCCTTTTTTTTTTCCCTTCTTTCCCTGGGTTATCTCAACCATTATCCACCTCGAATGGTTTCTAAGAACAGCTGAAATAAAGACATGGCCCACTTCTGGAAGCAAGGAAGCCCAGAATTCTGAGAAACTTACCCACGTTCAGCAACTGCAAAGTGGGGAGCTGGCAGGGCACGATGTACCCAGCACCGGGTCTAGGTCTGCAGGGAATCTTGGGTGGACTTCTTTGAAATCCTGTGGACTACATCAAGTAGATGTTGATGTAAAAATGTCCAAACTTGTAGGGAATTTTTATATGTGTTTATTTTAGCCAAACTGATGACATGTGCTGGGAAATAGATGTCAAATGCTTCCTCTACGTTTAAAAAAATGATCCATGAAAATAATCACTCAATGTCTTAGAGGCTTTTTTAAGGCAAGAAATAGTTCTTACATACTTAAATTGAGCACCTAGTATATCAGTAAGCTGAAATGATACCATTTGCTGGATTACAGCAGCTTTAGTAAAGTAAATTGAATCTAAGTTATACTGTTTTGCCTATTGGAGTTGCTGGTTTTTTTTTAAAGCAGAGTAAGTATTCAAAATGTGTAGCATTCCCTACTTATCTAATGCTTTGTGATCCAGAGTGCAAAGTTAGTTTCCATCAGCCACTTATATATTGATTATGTGTTTATTTAGAAGATGCAGAGAGACCAGAGAGGAGTCACTTTGTTTCATAGCCCTTTTATTCTTTTCCTAATGTAGTATAATTTCATTAGAAATATTTTCAAGGTGGAAGGAGCAAACAAACAGCTTTGTTCTTGTTAATATACAGACTCTTCCAAAATGAGAGTTATGATTATTCACTGTTTGGGTCAGAGCTTTGAGAACTAAGCTTAAATCACAAGACTTTTATGGATGGGTCATGAGAGGGCACAAGGAAATACAGAGACTCTCAGAGGTATAGGTGGCTAGTGTTGGTGGCAGGATGATCCAAAATAGTAAGCCTAAATAATTGCACATTTGGAGATTCCTTTTGTACTTTTATGTAAAGATGAATATTTCAGATATTCTGGATTTTGAAACCACTTTGACCAAATAGGTAAAACTGTGTTACTCAAGAGAAACTACAAAGGCACGAGAAGTCAGAATCATGCTCACATTTTGAACGTCTTTTACTTCCTTCTCTGTGCTAATGTTAGGCTGCATTCTGTCTTCTGCTTTTGCACCAAGTTAAAGTAGATTTGCCTTCTCTTTCTGTGTTACTTTACAACCTTTTGTCTGATTTACTTTCTTGGATTTACTAAGGTGACAGTGTTAGTAAGAGTTTGAAGCAGGATTTTTGCAGATAATTCAAATCTGGATAATATGGGAAGAGTTCACAACAAAGGGGAGTGTTGGTGCCATAAGGTTATGTTAAGAGTAAAAAAGTTAGTTCAGGCATTATAAACTTAATGTTGATTAATAATGTATGTGTTCTATATGTTCATACATATGTTTAATCTTTGATAATATCCACTTTCTGTCTTATCATTTAGACTCAGATTGATGGACAACTTTTCTTAATAAAGCATCTTTTGATTCTTCGTGAACAAATTGCTCCATTTCACACTGAATTCACCATTAAGGAAATTTCCCTGGACCTCAAGAAAACTAGAGGTACTTTATTGTCCTGGCTGGCACAATTGGGTGTGTTGGACCTGTCCAAATGTGTCAGCACAGGTTACAGGTTTATTTTATGTTCATCTGCAATTTTTTTTTGCATGCTGTGCCTGCTAAGCATGTTACTTGTTCTTACTAAGCTGAGCTGTCAACATCCTATTACATCTAACTTGCTGTATTTTCTTTATGAAAGGAGCTTTATCTGAGCATTTCACTTTGTAATATAGCATCACCTCTCTTAGACTCTGCCACATATTACCATAACCAGTTAAAAAATGAAAAATCAGCATACCAACTACTTACAGTGTCAGCTAGCTATGATGGTTTTAAACATTCATTTTGTCAGTTCATGAAAATTTAGGAAGCCAGCTGGGTAAAAGGGGAAGAGTACTTACAGTCTGAAAAAGTCTGTCTGTGTTCCTGGCTTACCATTTCCTGGCTCTTGTGTGATCTTGGATGGGTGTTATCAAGATCAGTTAAGAATGAAAATGTATGTTAAAGTGTTTTGTAAGCTTAAGGTGTTTCAGTGAATGTAAGTATTGTTATATTGGTGATTTAGGTGATCATGTAGATAGTGTCTTTGAGTTGGTAATAGATGTAGGATCCTCTTGGGAAAGATACTTCATCTATCCTAATGATTTGTCTCTCAAATAATAAGCAGTGATTTGAAAAGATCAAAGTAGTTATTTTCTAAGATACTGACCTTAAGCAGTGAAGAGTATACCACAAATACTCCTCATTTTTCTTAAGTATTTAACAAAATTATCTAAAACTTTATTTTTATTTAATCATTTTCAAGAGAATCAAACTCTAATGACTTAAGCCATTCATTTGTATAATGAATGAAACTATCTCATGTCTTGGGAGAATTGAGAAAATTCATAGTCACTGAAATTACATTTTTTGTATTCTGTGATTTAGTGAAACTCCAAATAGAGGATTTTCAGGGGGTAGTATGTTGTTTCCTAATGACTGTGCCTATAAAATTAGTAGACTTGATGTAACTTAACCTGAGAGCCAGCATGATCTCATCATGAGTCATATGAAAACACTTTGCTCTTCTTCTTTTCCTAATGCTCTCTTCTTTCCACCACAGAGAATGCATTTTGGTTCTGTTGGAATTTGGGTAGTAAGCTTATGTGTTATTCATATACTTAGTGATTTTTTTTTTTAAACAGCAGCCAGATTTCCTGGCTTTTGACCTGAGAGAATGCATAATTTCTTTTAGAGTTCATTCCCATCAGAGGCTTCTCTCTCTTAACCATTCTAGTTGATTTTCTTCTTTCTTTTCAGTGAGGAATGTGGGACTAGTTAGTTTTACCCTTGAAGAATGCCAGACGCTGATAGTCCTTTATTTTAGTGATGGGATAAAGCAGGGCTGATCTACTTTCTTTCATTTTTTAAAAATTCGTAATTTATTGCTGGTAGGTTCTAGTATAGATCCACTGAGGTGTGAGAAAATGAAATACCTTAAAATTTTGGCAAATATTGGTTTAAAGTATATTTCCCTAAAACATTATCCTCTGTAATCCTACCATATGCTGACTTCATTCTGTATTTAGTAGACACTCTTTCAGGTATCTTGTAGAAAAGAGAACAAAAACAAAGAGCCATTTGCTAAAGCCTTACTCTGAACACTGAATCTGATAGTGGGGTTCTTTTTGAGTAAGATCACAGTCTGGGCAGTAAGTACTCTTGTGGTAAAACCAGGGTTGAAAGCTTTGCATGCTTTGTTTTCTCCAGTCTGGCAAGGCAAGTCAAAGTGAAGAAATGGGCTTTTGTGACTATCCATAATAATACTTGCTGTCTTAACTTTTAAGTTCTAACCTCTCGTGACTAATGTTATATCTTATTGCATTTGAACATCAATGAGACCTCAGTTAATAACTTACATAGATTCTAGTTAGCCTGGAGGTTAAGGGGTAAATATGTCCTTTTGGTGTTTTCTTTCTGGCTGACACATTAGTTTATACACTCTGCTTTAAATGAATAAATTTCTGTGCCAGCTGGGATCTTAACAAAAGAAACTGGGTAAGTATATGAATATTAAAAAAACTACTTAGCAAAAAAGTAAAACTATGAAATTTTAAGGTATCAATTATTATTATTTTTTTCTATAAGTGAATAATTACATTTAGTAGTCACTTTGCAGTTCTTACTTTTAGAAAATAATGGGTGCTCTGGCCCTCTTGGCATAGATCTCACTGTCTTCATGGAGATGAGTTGGTGAAATGAAGCTGTTCTTGCTTTGTGGTAATAGAAAATTAGTGTATGTTAACGCACTGAAATAGTGACTCAGCTTTTCTGTTGCAACTGTCCATTTTTACTGGATAAGTACTTTTGTTCCACAGATGCAGCATTTAAAATCCTGAACCCTATGACTGTTCCGAGATTTTTTAGGCTGAATAGCAACAATGCCTTGATAGAGTTCTTGTTGGAGGTGAGAAGGAATCCTTTTCATTGGTGGTGGGAGGTAAATGATATTCTATACATGTCTGGTAATTGTTATGCATGTAAAAACAGGGAGAAATTGTCATCTTTTTTAGGGTACTCCTGAGATAAGAGAACATTTTCTTGACTCCAAAAAAGATGTGGACCGTCATCTGAAATCGGCCTGTGAGCAGTTTATTCAGCAGCAGACCAAGCAGTTTGTAGAGCAGCTGGAGGAGTTCATAACAAAGGTACAGACTTTGGTGTATATTCGGTAAAGTGATTTTGAATTTTTCTGTAGATTCACTTTTCAGTTAATTACGGTCTTGTGAAAACTCTGGCAGAACCCTGGCCAAGTGGCTCAATTGGTTGGAGCATTGTCACATACAACAAAGTGTTGCGTGCATATGGTAGGCAACTGATTGATGTTTCTCACTCATATGAATGTCTCTCTCTCTCTCTCTCATTCTCTCTCAAATTAATACAAACATATCTTCTAGTGAGGATTAAAAAAAAAAAAGACAAAAACTTGCCCTGACTGGTGTGGCTCAGTGGGTTGGGTGTCATCCTACAAACCCAAAGGTTTGATTCCTAGTCAGGGCACATGCCTACATTGCGGGCCTGCCCTTCAGCTGGGGGCATTCAAGAGGCAACCATTCGGTGTTTCTCTTGTACACCGATGTTTCTCTCCTTCCATTCTCCTTTATCTAAAAAATTAAGTAAATAAAAATCTTCAAAAAGTAAAAAAAATAACAACCCTTACAGAAAGAGATAATAAGCCCAAGTCTTAATGATTTCGTGTAAGAAATCAACTTGTTTCTTCTTTATGGGAGCTTTTCGTTTGGAACTTTTAGGTAAAAATCGCTTGTCGAGCATTTAGTTTTTAAGAGAAGGAATGCTAAAACAGTAAGTAACGCTAGTTATAGCAGTCCTCTGGTCACCTATGTTCTGTTTACTCACATGGTGAGTATTTGCCTATGGTCTGGGACTCACTTTTCCTGGATCAGGACCTGCTGGTCACAGTCCTGCTTATCAGGGCTATTACTTAAATTGGTGAAGTATCTCTCCCTTTTTGTTTTACATGGTACTGGTATTTCTCCCTTCCATTTGCATGGATAATTAAAAATTGAAGATTTTATATCATTGCATTGGTAATCACCAGATAGATTAGTTTTTACTCATCTATCTCTGCCTCCTAGCTAAAATCTATTAACTAATACTAGCAATAGAAAATACAGATCATGGCCCTGGCTGGTGTGGCTCAGTGGACTGAGCACCAGCCTGCAAACCAGAGGGTTGCCAGTTCGATTCCCAGTCAGGCCACATGCCTGGGTTTTGGACCAAGTCTCCAGTAGGAGGTGTGTGAGAGGCAACCACACATTGATGTTTCCATTTCTCACTTTCTCCTTCCCTTCCCCACTATCTAAAAATAAATAAGTAAAATCTTTAAAAAAACAAGAAAAATACAGATCATGGTTATTTTGACTTTCCTTTTTCAAACTAATCATTAAAAAAATTTACATGTTGTTACTAAGGACTTTTCTCATAAAGATGTTTAAAAAGTCTTGAAATTAACTTTAATTTATTAAACCTCTACTGCTTGTCCAGTTTTGTATTAGAATACATTTTCAAAAGATTAGGCATATCAGAGACCTTTTTCTCAAATGTACTTATTTAAGTCTTAACTGGGGAGATAAGCAAATTGTTCATTTGTAACTTGTTGCTGGGTCCAACAATACTAAATCCAGAAGCCTGTGATGAAAGTGGAATATACCAGTTTTAAAAATAATAAAATACCAGAAAAGCAAGTACAGAAAGGTTATTGGATTGTATTAATTGTTTAGTGGATCTTAGCCTACTCATGTCAAATATTTGGAGTGTGTTTGTATGTTTTTTTCCTACTACAGAAATTTTAAAAGAGGGTGGTAGAAATGTTTTCTCCCAGATTTTAATTTAAAAAATGGTATAAATATTGATACTTTGTAATTTTTATTACTCAGTTATCATAGATTTTACTGATGAAAAACCAGCTTGTAGATTATAGTATGCACAGGGTGGAAGAAAAGTACATTTTCAGTTGTTCATAGGGAAAATAATACAATAATAAATAATAATACAATAATAACCTCTGTGTTTTGTATACTTACAACTATAAGCCTACTTTTGCCCCACCCTGTATTTTTGGGAGAGCATCCACATTAACATTGGTGGGACATATTGTAGAATGCATATTTTACAGTAACAGAGCAGCAAAGTGAAACTTCCTATAAAAACAAGTCGATAATGAAATCTAGGATTAAAGGGTTTTTCTAGAAAAGCACAGTTTCCTTAAAAATCAAGAGAATGAAAATTTACTGATATAGTTGTCCAAGCTGACCTTAGTATAAGTAGATAAATCTGGAAGAATGGTACAGTTGTGCATTTTGGAACACTGGACACTATGAACATTTTTTAAAAATTAGAGGCATATATATAAGAAAGCCTTCTTATATATAATTAAATAACATGAACATGCTACATGTCTCTAGTGGGCACCTATGTAGAGCTAAGCTGTTCATACATCTCTTTTATTCTCCCCTCACTGTGGGATTGGTAAAGGGAAGGACCTTCCTCTAATCAACATTGAGAAATCAGTTGCCTCATTTTTACTTTTTCAACCCTGGTCCTTCACTACTTCTCATTGAGTTTGCAGTCAATGTATTTAGTAGAGGACTGAGCATCCCTTTTATTTATGGAGCCTAGAGTGAGTCAGAGACAAAGATACATACTGTGCCCACACATGCACAAGCACATGATGTAATTACTAGAGTTTATAGAGATATATGTGATCATTTAAGACAGGCTCCTCAGAATTTGTGGACCAAACATTTTCACTTTTTCCTGGTGAATGTTACTACCATTCTGAATAGCAGAGACAGAATAAAGGATTTAAAAACTTTAAAATGATTTTTTTAAAGGTAAATCTGCAAGTGCAGAATCTTGTGCCTCTTATTATAGATGGCATTTTATAAGGCAAACAGTGCTTATACCTTGATAGATGATTGTAAGAAAAACAGCCCCCATTGATACAGAAAAAAACAGTATTTCATCTTTCATTTACATGTATGCTTGTAGGTCTCAATATTTACCATTTGGATGTAAGTCTCATCAACAAAATGTCCTCAGCTTGTTTCTAAGTTTGGACTGATTTGATAAATATATATGGGTTTGCATAGTAAAACAAACTGTGTGAGTATGTAGAGAACATTCTTAGGTTGTCAGAACTTATGTTTTGAGCCTAAAGACCCAGGGTTTGATTCTGATCCCCTGTCTCATGTTGTAAATCGTCTCGTTTGTTTATTATGAAGCTCCTTCTTTGGGTTCTTCTTGTTGAAATGCTTCCTTTTCGTTAATTCCCATTACATCCTTGGCACCTGGAGTAAAGTACAACAACTTCATTTCACAGATTGAGAACCTGAAGTTTTGCAGAGTGACCTAGCATACATGAGATAAACATTTCTACATCTTAATATGAGGTCTGTTAGAAAGTATCCAGCCATGTAATATGAAAAATACAGACATTTATTGAAGATACAAGAAACATTGTACATAGGACAATGACACCTTAGTTCCCTTCAAAGTAGGCACTTTGGGACCTCCCACAGTTCTGCCAGCATTTCTTCCACTTTTCAAAACTCTCGGCAAAATCCTTTGTTGGATTTGCCATCAGCTGTCCCATCATATTTTCCTGTATCTCATTGTCGGTCTGAAATCTCTTCCATTTCAAGATGATTTTAGTTTTGGGAAAAGCCAGAAGTCACAGAGTGCCAAATTTGGTTCATTGGTAGCAGTTTGAATCAAGTCATTAGCAACTGCACTACGATGTTCCTTTTACTCTGGTAGCAGAAACCACAGAACAGATTTTGCCATGACACATTTCGAGCCAAGATCCTGTGTCAAAATCTCAGACACCGTAGTTTTTGGAATCCCCAGATCAGCTTCTGGTTCTCACACTATCAGTTGCCGATCTTCATTGATTGTGGCCTGCACATGTTCAGTATTCTCAGATGTTCTGCTTGTTGCAGGCCTTCTAGAACATGGATCACTTTCAACAGATTCTTGACCATCTTTGAAGCTTTTGTGCCACACTTTTATTTGCACTTCACTCATTGTGTCATCCCCGAAAGCCTTCTGAATCATTGAATAGTTTCCATGGAGGAATGGTCAAGCTTTACCTAAAATTTGATGCAGATTTGTTGCTTTCCTCGCTCAGTTGTTTTTTATCCATGTCTTATTTTTATTCTGAAATGTGAAGCTCTTCTGAATTAAAGTACAGTTGACATACAATATTGTATTAGTTTCAGGTTTAGAACATAATGAGATTTCACATTTATATACCTTACAAAGTGATCACCACAAAAAGTCCACTATCCATCTGTCACCATACGAAGTTATTGTAATACTGATATTAATATTCCCTATGTTGTACTTTACATCCTCATGACTTATTTATAAGTTTGTACCTCCTAATCCCCTTAGCCTTTTTGCCCAACCCCCCACTGCCCAACCCTCTGGCAGTTAGCGGTTTTTCTGTATCTATGGGTCAGTTTGTTTTGTTTGTTTATTTTAGTTTCTTAGATTCCACCCCTAAGTGAAATGATACAGTATTTGTCTTTCTCTGACTTAATTTCACTTAGCATAATACCCTCTAGGTCTATCCATGTTGTTGCAAATGGCAAGATCCTTTCCTTTTTGGCTGTGAAATATTCCAGTGTGTTGTATGCATGTGTACACACACATCCACTTCTTTATCCATTCATCTAGTGATGAACACCTGGGTTGTTTCAATAACTTGGCTATTGTAAATAATGCTGCAGTTAACATAGAGGTGCATATATCTTTTTGAATTGTTCCACTTCTGGGGGCTTACCTGAAGAAAACAATTGCTGGGTCCTTCTTTGTCTCTCATTATATAGCCTTTGTTTTAAAGTCTTTTTGTCTGATATAAGTATTGCTATCCCAGATTCTCTCTTTTTTTTTTCATTTCTGTTTGCATGAAATATCTTTTCCATTTATTTATTTCCAGTCTCTGTGTGTCTTTCAATCTGGAGTCTCATGTAGACAGTATATGTAGGGGTCATTTTTTTTTAAACCATTTAGTCATCCTGTTTTTGCAGTGGAGTACTTAGTCAACTTCAATTGAAGTAATTATTGATAGGTATGTGCTTATTGCCATTTGAATTGTTTTCATACTACATTAAAAGTGGTTGGT